TAAAGTACTAATATTATTATTATGTACTCTTCTTCTGGTGGCTTGTTTATAGAGCTTTATGTGTTGCTTCAAGTGGGATGGTATAGTTGTGTTTCTTTTTTCTGTGTTTGCTGAGCTTGGATTGTATTATCCTTTTTCTCTAAACAATTACAAAAAAAAGAAAATAATGGATCAGTGAAAAGAGTTGTTTTTTTTTTTTTTATAAAAAGATTTAATCTATAAAAGTAAATAAAATATATTATATATAGTTAACAAGATAAAACAATAAATACTTATTAAAATATTTAACCTATAAGAATTAATTATAAAAGATATAAAATAAAGAAATAAAAAAAATCATCAAAAAATTTAAAAAGTTTTTATAAAAAAGAAAAAAAAAAAGTAGAATAAAAAAATCTTAGATCAATTATAAATTTCTAAATTAGTAAAACAGATTTTAAAAACTAGTCAATATATTTTAAGTTTTTGTACTAACCTTATAAGAAGTAATCTTATTTAGAAAATAATAAATCATAAATATTATAAAAAATAAATAAATAAATCAAAATAAAAAATAAAGACTAAAGATATAAAAAAAAGTTTGTAATTAAATTCAAAAAAAATCTGAAATATAAAATACAAAATAATAATTAAATAAGAATAGATATAAGAAATCTATAAAAAAAAATAAGATAAAAAGATTCCTAAATTCTTTAAATCAGAAAATTATACTTTCAACAAAAAGAAAATTATTATCAAAAAAAAAATTCAAAAGATAGAAGCTTAAAAAGATTTTATCAAAAAGAATTAGATATAAAATGAAATGAATAAAGTTTTGTACCTAGTTAGAATCATATATAACAATTTATAATATTAATTTATAAGTAATAATGTTATTAGTTAGAAGGATCTTTTCCTAAACTACTAATAAAGTGATAAAATCCTTTCAAAGTTGTATTTAAAGTTTTGAAATAATATAAAATAAAGATAAATGAGTTAGATAGAAATTTGGTTTTAATGAAACATTTTATAATATATAATATACAAAATATTTAATAAAACATATATACCTAGCCTGACAAAGGGTTTTAAAAAAGAAAATTTTAGTAGATTATATATAGATAAATCTAATTTTTGAAACTTTTATATAGAATAAATTAAATGATATTAAAATGAATTTGAAATAATAATAATTTTTAACTAACTTAATTTAAATTTATTTTTAATTATAATTGATTTAGAACACAGATTTTGGGATTTAAATTAGTTTGAACTCAATTTATCCATATACAGTAATTATATATTGTATTGTATAAACTAGCAATAATAGCAAAAAAAAAATTAATAAAAAATATTTTTATTTAGATAATTTAGTTGTAAAATATAAATTAATAATTAAATTATTATTAAGTAATTTACACAATCAGTACAGAAATAGTCAAGCTATTAAAGACTTATCAAGTTATTATTATTTCAAATGGAATATGCACATCAAAATATCATTTACCAAGTGAATCACCCTTGTGTTCCCAGGTAACGTTGTCAAGACTCCAGACATAGGTCTCTACTTCATACCAACTTCTCAGTTCCCTAATTCCTGGCAGGCACCTCATCATATATTTCGTGGCACCTTCAAACCCCAGCAACAAGGTATACCACATTGCCCTTCTCGCAAAAATTCTCGTGGATATATTTAACCCTCCATTTTGATTGTACTTTTCCAAGAAACGACCTAACAGCGTTTTTGAACAACCCAAGACCGATATGAAAATCAATATCAAGTCGAATAACGGGTCACCACCATATATGTGCGCATCCCCGAAATCGATTATCGATATCGCTCTCCAATGCCCAGACATAGGTTCGTCTAAGTCGTAGTCATCAGGACCATCAGGCATAAATAATCCGAGAATGTTTTCGGCATTAAAATCTCCGTGCAAAAGTCCAGCGGTTCCATCAAGTTCCAGGTTGTAGATCTCTAGAAGTGAATTCGGTAGATATGACGGTATCTGAGAGATTAAGTGCGGTGGGAAAATCAACCACTCAGCATGAGCCCTGGGAGATTTTGAAAGCCGTTGTGATAGGAATTTAAAGAATGAGTGGCAATTTGAATGCACTTCATTGGGGACCGGTGGAAGACGGTGTAATGCTGTAATTTCACAAAGATTGGTTACAGTTATAAATATCCAAAATCGACTAAAAAACTCGATCTTTATTTAAAAAATTACCTTGCAGTATTTTAGCGGTGAAGTCAATCACTTCGCTCCAATTAACAATTCCGTTTTTGCCACCCAAATTATCATCAAACATGAAACTCGGCTGGGTAGCACTGATAACTTCCGAAAGGCTTGACCCACCTTTAGCGACAACTTCAAGGATAGAGAACGGCCAACGATATTTTCGCTGACAAAATTCATCGAACAAATAACCGCATCCTAAAAGCTTTGGAAAATACCCATGAAATTCGTTGGAAATATGTTCTCGAATATGCGAGTAAGCATTTGTTTCCAATGTGAAAGATTTGATGCCATCAAATAAATGCGAATAAAACTTAATAATAACAGTAGGAGTTTGAAAGACCTGCAGAAATCGGACATATAATACAGATAAGATGAGAATTGCAAAGGAAGAAAAAGAAAATTAGCACAGTACCGGATTTTGTCCACGTGTAACAACTTCGATTTCTACGTTCTGATCAATGCCACATCTTTCAAGGGCTTTCGTGACTCGAGGTTTCCAGAAACTCAAATCACGAAATGATTCGAGAAAATCAATCTTGGATGAGAATCCTTCCTCAAGTATAACCGGATCATTTGTCATATCCAGAAATGAAGACACTTTACGTGAAATGAATGGCTCCAAGTATGGGTGAGCTGTTATGACGTTCTTATAAAATAGTTCCCACATCTATTTATTATGAAAACTATCTTGTTATTATTTTGATGTGGATAAAAAAACGGACATGATATACATTCCTGATGATGAACCTTTTCGCTTATAAGGGATTCACAAACATGCTCGAGATTGTGAATATTAGCAAAGTTTTGAGTAATTGCAATAGTGTCTTCAATATTGAGGACCTGTTAAATAAATGCGACTTTCGAATTAATAAAAATCAAATTTCATAAATAAAGATATTTTTAGATGTATTATCATCACCATATGCCACCACCCACTATAAAATTGATAACAAGAATAAGATAAACTTTTAACGAACACTAACTACGCCAAGGCGAATTAACACGAATTTACCTTGGAACAAAAATTGTCTGCCTGCATGATTAACAAGAAACATATTAACATCACCACAGTATAACATCAAGAATGATCCATAATTCTCTTACCCAGGTTCTTGTACAATTTCTAATGGAAGAGCTCCTGGTTCCAGTTGTGGATAGACCTCAAGGTACCAGAGTAATGATGTGGCAGAATCCTTGGTATCATCCAATATTTCTTCATTGAAAAGCGACTGATGACCATTCATGCCGGTGCGCGAGATTGCTAATCCTGCGAAGTACACGCATACATAGCGTTTAGTCGATTCTCATTTGAAGCGATGACAGCGCGTATGTACCTGGCGGAAAGACGTGTGGTGGGTATCTATGAAATTAAGGATAAATGTAAAAGATTCCATTGAAAAATATTGGCCATTTGATGCTAAGATGACTTACAGAGCCCAACGTTTTCTTCCGGTAAGAAGTGTGTTCCAGGCTAATAATGTTTAAAACGAAAACGGAACCACGTTCAAATAATTTATTTGATAGAACTTAGAATCATTACGTGATTATTACAAACAATTTTTGTACCTGAAGTACCAACGGGATCAACATGCCACGAAGCCCCTATGAGAATAAGAGGTCAGCATCTAGGTCATAACTAAACTATCATTGGTGCCTTAAAAATCACTCTACATCACAATTTTCTAATAAATCGTCCCACCTTCTCCCTACTTTCACTTTCCAACTTTTTTATTCAGGGACTCACCTGACCTTGCGGGCCCAATAATCATCCACCTGTACGGTGGTCGCCCTTCAAATAAGGTTTCAAAAAGATCCCTTTGAAAATATTTGGGCACCTACTCAACATAAAAGATTAAGTATAATACTTCAAATGCATGTCCTCAGCGGGCATATGCCGAAATTAAATACCTCGTAGGCATCAGCCATTTCAAGATTTCTATCAGCGAACTCATTGTCAAAAATGTACAAAGGCGTTTCATCTCGTTGAATTTTCATATAATGTGCGTAGGACTTCAGGGTCATTAGAAAATAACGATTTATTCCTCCATGATCATTCGCTACTCGAAATAATAGCTGTGAATACTGCAGTAAATCATAATTTCAGCATTAAGGGAGAGTTGATATATATCAATCGTAAATCTCAGAAACCAACTTTTTGAAATAGATTCTCCCACTTCCAATCTTTCCAAGCTCTCCATTCATCTACACCCCCGTCTTTAATTAATACGGGAATAGCCTGTGCGTCAAAAAATGCTTCAAATCTCTCTTTGGTTAGCTTTCTTCCATCTTCTACACGAATTGTGGTCTCCGGAGGCAAATCCGGAGAAGGAACGAAATTACTGAGATCCATGTTGCATCGACACCATTTCGCATACAAATAATGACTCGAAATATCTTTAAAAAAAAAATTTCAGTCAAAATATTAATCAAAAAATTTTTTTAGTCTACAATTCTAAAATCCCGTACCCGAAAAACGCAAAGTTTGACAAGCGGGATGGTTCCAAATCACTCTTTCTTCTTTTTCACTCATCAACGTAGGAAACAAATAGCTTAGCAGCCAACTTCCGCGATATACGAAGTTCTCCATGACTTCCCCGTCACGTCCCCACTTATCCAAACAATGTTTTTTCCAAAGTTGATCATCATGTGCAAATACGTAAAAGAACTTAGATATTCTTGAAGAGAGGGCCAATTCCTATTTAAAATATGGTCATTGTAAAAAAAAAAAAAAAAAAAATGAAATTGAATTGAGCAAAAATTAAATAAAATAAATCCGAAAAATGGTTAATACCTCTGCAGACAATTTTGAAAGAATGTATTCCGATATAATACCGTCCGCAAGCACGCTAAAAGCACCAAAACTTTTTTGCCTTCGAGCTTCGAGATCCTCTAACGACATAACTATATATTAGGCTACGAATTTAAACCATAGATATTAGAAGGATGTGTGAAATTCGTTCATTATTTCTTATGCATCGATTCTTCGTAGACATTATAGCACAAGCTCAGATGGAGAATTGTTCACAAATCGCCAAATCCTCAATTGACGCCAGGCGAAGCATCGCAAGGATGGCATTCGAACGCAAATTACTCGTTAAATCATCATTTAATTGCGCATAATATCCGAATAATGAAATCCTAATGCGAAGAAACTTACATAGTGTAAGATCGCAATTCGATTTCGCGAAGATAGATTACTTTTGCCGGATGAGCTATAAGGAGAATCACGTGGTACACGCGCACCAAAAAAATAAGGAACGAAATAATAATCCTAATATAAATTTATGAAAGTTTCCGATGCAACATCTTTAAAAGTATTTTTAGAAAGCCGCTATGTAATTGTGCGAGTTCGCAAAAAAAAAAAAAGATTGTCGATAATTCTCCAATATAATAATACACAAACAAGGATATAAAGCCGTATCGGATACTTCAAAATATGTTCCTTTACTTAAGTTAATTCGAGAAACAGTTTTATGAGTGATGAAAAAGGTTATCATAAAAAATTTTCAGTATGATCTATATTAATATACGATCGTACATATGATCCGAATCACGTGAAATTACAGAATTCAGCGACTACCTTGCGAACCATTACCCATTCTGATGCAGAGATTTTATCGTCAAGATGAGATCAAAACTATCCTATTAGCCGTGGACCGCTACTTCTTAGTAGATGCGGGATTCCAAGATTCAGGATTAAATGAGCCACTCGGTATCGTGGAGGTCCCGAATGGGAAATCTTTAACTGATTTTGGGGACGGTGCTGATCGAATGCATTAATTACGTGAAGTATGATTTATTTTGAAATTATTGACGAGAGTAATCGCAAAAAAAAAAAATTGAATGGTATTGTATAGCATGAGCACGCATTAATGAGTATTTACGAAATTATTAGATATTATCGTTGCAAAAAGAAAAAAAAAAGATCTTTAGAAAATCAGAATAGATACCCTCTTCGCCGATGGTCTCTACTGGCCTTGGACTAATTACTTCACCACGCGACATCGCTGACTTGCGCTATAATAAGTATGTCGGTGAAACATTCGCCATAAACGACGATGGTAATTGTCACCTCTAATACTGAGGGAAATAAACATTCACCTCTTCCCATTCTTTATCCAAAGCTTTGGCCCTTTGAATAATCATTTCTTTTCGTTTATTAGCTGATATAAGTTCCTTTACAAAAGAAAAAAATACGTCCAGATCTGATGCGAGATCAACCCCATCAGCATGTTTAGAAGAAATTTTACCTCTATGGTAGGGGGATCAAACCTTGTATGCCTTAGCCAGCTTTGCCATTGCACTTTTAGCCAACCCAAAACGAATTTCAAATTCATTGATGATGAATGGTAAAATCGAATTCTACGACCGAAACTTCACTAAACTTACCAGGTACTTCATCGCTATCATACTCACATAACGGCCTCTCTTCTTTCATTTCGACCGTACGCTTTTTCCTACCATTAATGACTCTTACAGCCTCGTAATATTCGTTACCCGATAAGTCCTCACCTACAAAATCACGAGAACGCCACGGCAAACGTGCTCGTCTCCAAATTTTAAGAAAACGTGACATGAAAGACTTTTTTTTGTGAATCAATGGGTGTTGCAATCGATTTTATCTAAATTCCCAATATGTGAGTTCCGATGTATAATCATGTGAATAACCTGAGTACTTTAGGTCGGAAAAGAATGTGCTCACCATTGTTCTCAGATTTTGTTATAAATCAAACTTACTATACACTTTTTCATATAGAATATTGAAAATTATTCTTCGTATTACTGACTTAAATTCAAAAGGTCTAGTAGGGTATTATCTAATAATCATTTAAACGATATAAACGACCATTTTGTGTATTATTATAAAAGAAGTTTTGAAAAACAGATATTATTTATTTTAACCATTTAAATTTATATAAAGCAAACTTTAATTTGTTTTTTAAAAAAAGTTCATTACTTTATTATTTAAATGATTTCCACATATCAACTCATCTATTATTAAAGTTAATCTTTTTTAAATACAACTTGAAAAAATATATTTTGTATTCTATCCTTCATGATTTGAATTATTCTTAATTATGAAATTATATAATAGTATTTACAGGTTATTTCAACCATAGTATCAAATAATAATATAACTTTTATCTATACAAAACTATTTTTTTCTGTTTTATTAATTATTTTGATTATTCTTTTAAAGTAATAATTATTTAAAAATTTTATAATGTCAAATTAATAAAGTTATCATATTTTTATTTATAATACTTTGTTTTTTTTTTTTTTTTTTTTTTTTTTTAACCCGCAACCATGTCACATGGCTTGATCTTTATTGAGAAGTTATATAACTATTTATAATATTACAGATTTTTCACATGATAACTAACTTGTCATTATACCTAAGTACTCTAAGTCAGGTCTAGGGGACAATGTTTCACTCCCCTAGGGGATTAGTATACCACCTCTATCCACTAGGTTCATCGCCAACAGTTTGTCACTGTAGATTGCTCATAAACCATGAATTGCTAAGTTAAAGAGAAAGGGGAAAAAAGGAAATTGGGAAAGGGGAAAAATTCAAGGTCCCACCAAAAAAGTCTAAAAAGAAAGCAATCCTTCTCTTAAAAGGGATCTGCCTGATTGGGATAGTCTTCTTGCTTCTCTTGAGCCTCGGAAGAGATCTTCTTTATCGGATGAGTCAATCCAACTGGTCTTTCATTTAAGTATATACCGGATTGGGATATCTCAAGAAAAGTATTTAGACCTCAGCTTTTGTCCATTAAAGCTTTGTCACCACCTGAGGAACTTAA